AGTGGACTTGAACCGTTTTCCCGATTCGCTATTGACTTAAATTTACAATTGGTCAATATCAGAGTCGCTAAATCCGGATTAAGAAAAATCTGCCTATCAACACCTAATTAATGCCATGTTATAACGCGAAGATAACCATCTTATGAACGACAAAATATCCACAAACGGAACTTCAATCATTCGACACTCTAATTCGTCATCAGTCGTCATCACTGTGAACCTCCAGCAGTAGGCAGTCCACAGAGAGGCCCCTTATCACCTTGATACTAATCAAAGTACATGAAAAAAGCGTTGTTCAACACGAGAAAGAAAGAAAGAACGAAATAATCGATTGTTTGTGCCACACATCTGTCCTATCGCTAATAAAACACATCGAGTATATCAGTCGGCATCAATTGATGTTTTCGAGGCATCGAAAAAAATCACCCGTAACTGATATAAAGCGTTTGTGATGATACCAATTCACCGACGTGTTTGCTCAACCGAGAAAATTTTCACGAGAAATATTATATCTTGAGTACTCGACAACGGACATCTATTAATACATGTTCTACATGCGAAACAAGTTAACAATAACTCGAGTGCATTATTGAGATATTTACCACTTCAGTTCATGACGAAAATGATGGATTTTCACCATTAAACACAACAACCATTTTGTTGCTGATAAATGTCCGCCTTATCCCTTTATGATACCAGGTATATGGCTATAACTTATTTTATGGATGTTGGTGCTCCGTTACTGAGCGACTGGCAGCTGTAGATAATAATCGTCCTCTATCATTTCAATGGCAATTAAACAGTCACTCGTCCTGTAGTGTGTGGAAATATTTTAATGATGAATGTTTATTCAGGGACATTTTTTCAGTATTTTCTAACATATGATGAAGGCTCATGGTAAACGGTCATTTAAATTGCATATATGGATAACAATAGAATAATTCTATATCCGTACTATAAATAAATCACACAACTTTTTGCCGCATTTTATTTCCCAAAGTTATTGATCAAGTACATCCTAAATGTAAAATTCTGATGAATTCCCATCAAGTCAATTCTTAAACGTAGGGGAGACCGGGGCAAAATGAGACCCCTATAAAATTTGAGATTTTACGCAAATGATCGATTTTTTTATAGTTACTAATGAAATAACCCATTGTTAGTAGCTTTAAAGTATAAATGTAACTCAGATTTCAAAGATTACACGGAGAGAAATTTTCTCGAGAAATTCTGGGGCTAGCGCGGGAAAAGAGGCGCAAAGTGACGGCCAGGAAAAAATTCCAGTGTCGGCACTAGAAATTTTATTGGGGAAAACGTGAATTTTTCCCCGTATTTCTGTGAAAATTTCACAGAAATTTTACCAGAAATACCAAGAAATTTTACCTTAACAGCACTAGAATTTTTCTAGAAAATTTCTCTCCGTGTACAATCTGAAAAAATTCTAAACGAAAGTTAATAGAAACAGAAACATTCTGGTTAAGTTAGCGCACAATTCTTAGTCTGGCATTATTGATAATAATTAATTAATAAATGTGAAAATAACCATGACCATGATGAAGTTTGATCCTTCTGAGGTTAAACGGGAGAAACTCTTAATTATTTCACTCGATTTGTGATCAATCGGCCCTTGTCCTTAAAATTTCATAGACAGCCAACTAGTAATTTTCAGGAGATAAATATTGAATGCGATTTAGGGGGAAAAAATTATAAAATTTCAGATTTCACAGAAAATTCCAAATTTTTAAGCGGTATTAAGACAAGAATTCCTCAACTTATTAGAATTTTCTACGAAAAAATGAATATTTAGTGTGAAATAATGCTGAATTTCCAATTAATTGAAAATTCAGGATTATATTCACGGAAAATTCCCTAATTTCTATTAAGCTTCAGGGAATAATTAAACTTACATTTGCGGTTGTCCTTGATTTTCCCACGAGATTCCGAACTTTCAGTGACAAAATTCCTTGAAATTCTGGTGGAACTAAAATGTGAAAAAAATTCCCTGAAAGTGTATCGGAATTTTGCAGTCAAAAAATTTTCAAGTGTACAAAAAAAAGTCGAGGTATGATGAGCTTACAAAAATTCATAACTGTAAGAAGCAATATCTGCATGAGACAAGAGATTTTCTCATCCCCGTAAAAACTAGAATATTGCTCACAACGACGATTAGAAATTGTCTTAGACAGAAGTTCCTTTTTTCGATTCGAAACCTTATTTGCCTACTTATGTGATCAGCTAAACGACGTTACATCGAAAAAGACACTGGCCTCATTTGTCTCATTGGAAAACAAAAAAATGAGGGGTCTCATTGTGCCCCGGTCCCCCCAATATTTAGATCTTCGTAATACAGGTACACCACCACAATATTTCATCATCTTAATGGTTGTTCTCACCTATCCCACTAAACCCCTCCGCCAAACGCGTCCCATTCCCCCACCATAGCCATAAAACCCATCATCAAAATAAAGAATTAAAAATTCACAATCTCCCAACCAGTCCCATCACCAATCATCAATGCCCCGAATGCCGCTAAAAATTTCAGCATCAATCTAATAACTCAAACCCGCTGATGAATGATCGCCCGTTGAATCAACTGAACCACCTCATTCGACTAGACACACACACCTCCCTCTCGCCCTCCATCGAACTCGAGCAGGATCAATCAAAGAGCCAATAATAATCAGCAGTGCCACGAGAAGCCAATCTAACCAGGAATAATCCATAATCCTTCAATTATGAAATTACAACAACTGTGCAATATCATCATGTACCCACGACCACACTTTTGCATACACCCTCACATTTGCCATTGTCCTTCACATGCACATATTCACACATACTTGAAATACAGTACGAAAGGAGTACTACGAGGCATTGACGAGAGGGGTTGCCTCCTCACCGTTCAAAAATCAACGATGCTGCTCTCCCACCAGTGCCACCAGCCTCCCCATCGCCACGAGCATCACCCACACTATCACCCACTATCACTCACACCTAAACACCACAAACGCACGCCCCCCGACGTACAGAATAGGCGTGGCCAAGTTGTCATTTGTCTCCTGCCAACGGTCTCCCTCACCTCGTTTCCTCCTCGTCTCTTCTCCTTCATCCACCTTCAACCCATTCAGCCCTCTGCCACCTATCCAACCAAGTTGACGTATGTACTACCCCCGGAGGCAGAGTGCCTCTACCAACCCCCCATCACCTTTCACTACTTTCAAGTTCTAGCCGTCCTTCCACCTTCTCCAGTTCCTCAGTTTCGTCCCAACTTTTCCTCCTCCATCTCCTTTTTTTATTATGTTACATTGTCTTGCCCGGCCTGAAGACAGTCGAACACATTGAAGCTGCAGTCCTTCATCCCTGGAAGATGCTCTCAAGTTTATTTTATTCGGCGCTGGGTCTTTTAACCACTTCTGCAGTTCACCAGCCTCCGAATCCCGGTCTTCAACAAGTTTGGTTTATGAGAAGCATGTTGAACGTCCGCTTCGATCAACTCGCCTAGTGTTCTTCCATCCTCAGTCGGACTCACTCAATGATGAATCTAAGCGGAAGCTCTTGATCTTGACCGCTAATCCTCGCCAGTAGATCAGTGCAGCTTCAAAAATTCAGCATCATCATCCCAAATAAATTCCCCACCCGAATCTCTCCAACCGCTGTTAAGCCACGTGCCATTGTCCCAGTAGTTGATAATACAAAAAAGAGATGCAGTTGGCAAGGTGTGAAAAAACTCGAGTCCACACATGAATTCCTGGAAACCCAGAATGTATTGAAAAGAAGAAGGGATGCATCAGGAAAGCGGTGAGAGTGGGGGCGTTTGCGTGGTGGGTGGGGCGAAGATAGCCGGACGAGGTGGGAGATAAAGCGTTTTAGTACAGCAGGGGGGAGGGTGGGGGGACGCGTCAGGCGCAGGCCATGAAGAGACCGGCGCTAGTGTTGAATAGTATCCAGAAGCTCCTCGTGTGTGGGTATATGGGTTTTGATGTGGTATTTCGAGGGGTGTATAGCAAACGCTTGCGAGGGGGATAGAACGGTAGAAGTGAGAGGGAAGGCAAGGGGGGGAGAAGGCGAATGGTCCAAAGTGAGTAAGACTGGGGACTGGGAAACGGGATAGGCACAGTCAGACAGTCAGGCAGGCCCCCGGCATAAGGCAAGGTATCTGGGCAAGGGCGCAAAGAGAGGCAACACTGCACGGCAATACCCAGCACCAAGCCCAAGACCACTAGATCCGCTCGGCTTACCCGACTTAGAGACTTAAGCCAAGCAGCCAGTCCAAACGGCTCAACTGGGCTAAGCCTAGCCGACCCACCTACCCAACTGCAACGTGCGGTCACTACACTACCTGGGTGACTACCCCATCGACCTGGTCTTCAAAATCCTTTCACTTTTTTCTTTTGCTGTCCACCACCCAACACCCGCCGCGAGTTTTTGTTTACCACGTGTCTTTCTGTCGTCAATCAGCGGTGTTATGGAATAACTCGAGCAACTTGTGACTATCATTGACAATCAGAGGACAGTTGCTGGGAGTGGTGCGACTGGCCGCGAGACAGTGTGCGTCGACTCGGGTAATCGCGGTGACTGGCTCAGACACTGTGGTCACAGTCAAGGTGATAGAGGTGCCGAGTGTGTGAAACGCGTGTGACTGGGCTGGACTAACCCACTTTCGGCCCTGGCTAGAGTACATGAGAGTTACGCAATTGTCGGGGTTTATTATCAGTTGGAGGCTGAAGCTTTGTGAAGAAAGCACTGGGGGGGCTTGATCATTGTGAGTTGGTTGTTGTTGTCAATCAGAGCGGGTGTGATTTGGTTTGTTAGTGTTGACAGTGGAGTGATTGTTCATTTCAACCGTTCGGGGGTTGTTGCGGGCAGTTGAAAGTGATTCGTGATTTGTTGGACTTATGACACCTTAGACGAGGGGGCTGAGCTGATAAGGGGTTCAGTGAGGACAGTGAGGTTGACCAAAGGTGTACGGAACAGTCGGCACGACGTTAACCTTCTACAGTATGGAGCGCGGCGGGGGCGGGGGGAGCCTCGATCTCGCCGGCGGTGGAGGTGGCGGTGGTAACTCGGATCTGTGTCTTCAGGATCTTGTGACAGGATCCGCCACTGGATTGTCCGTGCAGCATTATCAGCATGCTGCTGCTGCTGCATCCATGGCCGGACTCCATGGAGATCATCTGCAGAATGCAATGCATCATCACGATGTTCATGGGAACTCTCATCATGACACATCGATGCTGCATAATACTAGCCATCAGCTGTCTCATGAACCGCTAGAGAAGTTAAAGTGTAAGTATCTTTTGACGATTTATTTTACGAGTTTTGGGGTCCTCTTTTGAGGTGCGAATTGCAAATATGGGGATGAGTTTGAGTTCTGGCTTATCAGTGCGAGCAACGATTTTATCTCGGTTTGGGTTTATGATGTTTGAGCTCGGGCGACGCGTCATCCGACGGTCGGGTTCAGGTGTCTTCAAGCGTTCGATGTTATTTTTTAAGGTAGATTTATTGGGGAATTGTTTTTCGGAGTCGAGACTGGGTACCCGAGTTTTGAATAGGGTTTTTGAGGTATTGGGGACAATGGGAATGTCGAAAAAATTGGTATCAGAACGAGAACGATAAAGTTTCGAGATAAGGAGGTGTTACTTTTATTACTCCGGGAATTTCATTCTCTGTAGCTCGGTTGTTTCAACTCCAATGCATTTTCAAGTACAAAAATAATCTACTTTCATCACATGTCGCAACAATTACTCATTTATCTGATAATTTATCAACGTGAACGACGGGGCTCATAAACTAATTAACCCGATGATAATTATCGCGGGCGATGAGAGAGTGACAGGGAGCTCGAAAGAGTGAACAAAAAAGTGATCATTGTTATTGATAAATTTCACGAATCCATCAAAATGAAGATCAAATCTGTGGAATCTGGGTTAATGGTGTGCGAGAATTGATTTCTCTTCATGAAGAATCGATCTTGATTCGTGGTGAAGAATTTCCCTGTCTGAAAGAGGTGTCGCAGGATTCTCTTGAAGCGTCAGTTCCATCTCATCCGCTCCGAGCGCCGCCACCTGTTTTGTGATTCATTAACTCACCGGCTTATCGGGATAAGGCGGACTTATCCCAGAGCTCGAGACCGACACCACCGACTAAAGCCGATCTTATTCCAATGGCATTTCACCTGTACTCGAGTATCTTTGCATTACACTTCAAATTTATTTCCGATAAATCTTGCAGTGTTAAAGAATTTCTGTTTGGAGTTATCAATGGCAAATTCTGATAATTCAGGTTGAGTTTTGACTTTCGAGGTTTTTATTGGAAATAACCCGCGAATTAAACTTTATTTCTCATCACTGATTGTTCGTGTTGAATTGTTATATGAAGTAAAATTTAATTGACGTTGATTAATATTGCAATAAGACAAACTAATGAAATAGAAGTACTAGTAAAATTAAAGATTCTACGCTTCAAATAACGAACTTCAACAATTCGGAACGGAACGTAGAAATAACTCACCAGCTTCATAAATATTGTTGAACGTTCAAGACTTTTTGATTTTGGAGGCATAATAAGTCGGGAAGTTTCTGTAACATTTTACTTCTTCGGGAAAAATTACGTGACAATTTCGTATTTTGCTCGGTGATGGATCTGAAAATTCACTGAACGTTTCAGATTTCTTCTCTTCCACTCCTATAAAAATTGTCGGAAAACGATTCTCCATTGCGGATTACGTTAATTGTTCCGTCATTTTTACTGAATATTTCTCTCCGTGTCGGTGTATGCTGGCATGTGTCACGCCGGTGATGCTGAATGAACTAAACCTCAACGCGGGGCATTTATAGATCAATTTTACCGGTCAATTTCGTTAAAGAAAGATGAATAGCTTTGATGAAACTTGAGAATAAATAATCAAAAACGGAAGTTTTGAAGAATGAGATTTCTTGTTTTAACCTATTGCTTCCTCTCACGGTACCCCACTTTTCGGCGTTTCGTACAGGTGTGCGTGTGCCACCCTGCCTCTCTTATGGCGTGCTAATCTCGGTACAGATCCCCCACTTCTCTCATATCGAGATAATTCACGACATTCGTAAAACAAAGGGTTAAAATATTCATTATCAGTGGTAATGTTTCCCCAGTAACCCACAGAAGAAATATTTCAGTTATTATTCACCATTCAGTATTGTTATTTTGTACTTCGAAAGAGTAAATATTTCTTCAATTATAATTTTTTATGAAGACCAGAAAATCTGCTGGAACCTTTAATTTTGAGGAACTTTTACAAGAATCTTCAATTACCTTAAAAATTATTATCAGAATACCATACTACTTCAGTTTTAATCAATTAATTTTGCCTATAGTGATGCCGCGAGACATTTCACGAGACATCACGAGACAATACTTTCGAGGGATTGTCCGGTCTCCATGAACACGGAAAATTTTGGTCTCGTCTGTCTTGAAATGCGCAGTATCAACTCGTCTCGTGATGGCTCCGAGTCAATTTATCTCATCTCGGTTTCCAGTTTTTCGTGTTTTTTATATGTAGAAAATCGAGACGAGACAAGCCGAGATATAAACCGAGATTTTACATTGAAAAACACGAAAAACTTGAGACCGAGATGAGATAAATTGACTCCGAGTCCTCACGAGAGGAGGCGATACTGCGTATTTCGAGACTGAGATGAGAGCAGCGATTTTCCTGTTCATTGAGACCGAAATCATCTCTCCAAAGTTTTGTCTCGTAAAGTGTCTCGCGGCATCACTATTTGCTTATCATATTGATAGTTTGTTTCACAAAAAATAGATGAATAATGAATTTGAAAGGATTAACAAATCTTTTTAATGCGTAGACAAATGAGATGACAGTATTTGTGAAAAAATATTGATAAACCATTCACATTGAATCAACAATTGACCCTCACTCCATGGTGGTTGCGTAGTGTAAAAGCTTGGCACGCAGATAACTAGGGTTCAAATCCCGCTGAAATTCTTAATTTCTCATAGGTATTGGGTCAATTGCATAATAGACCCAGTACTGTTGGAGATGATAATTTTTCATTTCTCGCAACTCTGTAACATCATGACTGATCATAAAAAATAAGAGGAATATAACGTCCCATAGTTTAAAATCTTTAAATGGCTTTTCAGCAGGGTAGTTCCATTCTCAATGAATGGTAATTACTCCAACGAATACCCAGTAATTAATTGGGGCTTCAGGTGGCGATCAACGACGTCGTAAAGTAACGATAAGAGCCAAGAAATTGAATGCCTTTTCTGGTTCGGTAAAATATCGAGGGAAAATGGAATTTTTCAGAAAGAGAGATTAAATTTTCCGGACGATAAAATTTTGATTAAAATTCGGTCTCGGGGAATTCTTTAGTAATACCTTTTCTAACAGAGAGAATTCGAAATTTTTTCAAATCGCTGACGATGAAACGTGAGTACACGGAGAACATATAAAATTAAAAATTACTATGTGAACATAGTAATTGAGGGCTATGCCGATAAAATTTTAAAATTTGATTTCTTTTAACTGAACGTTTTGCGTTTTGTGAAAATATTGAACTTCGAACCCCTTTGGTGAAAATCTGTCAGTTCATTTCGTAGACGCATTTCTATCCCAATATTTTGGCAACCTGGGGCTTTGACCATACGGTGTCATTCCGAATGTATTTTGGATTCCAACCCCGCCCGGAGTCATTTACTACCCCTTTATTATCGGTTGACGGGGTTATACCTCGGGCAGATGCGCACCGAGTCAACCCCTTGTGTCGCTGTCTTTTTTTTCTCTTCTTCTCCTAATGGTGTTGACAAATTGCTTGGCTAGCCATGCCTCCCTTGGGCATACTGGGGGCACGTTGGGTGTTCTGGGTACCACAGAGGATGACAGAGTTGGACGAGAGTTCAATTGGGCGATGAGGGGAAGAAAAACCCTGAATTTCTTGCCACTGTGATTGGGTTAAACTAATATTGGGTTTTGGGATTTAATGATTATTGGATCGATCGGGGTAATTCCTTTGTTTATCTCGAATTCTAGAAATTATTTGAGGAAGAGCAAGGGTAAGGCATTTATTACTCTAGATTTTTGGATTACTCCACGACATGAGTTGCAAAAAATAATCTAATTTCTATTAGAATTTCTTTTCCTTCTTACTTTTTTCACTTCCGGTCAACTAAATGGTCAACTGATCCGGCAATTTTCTTGATTGTTCACATTTATTACTCCGAAAATACACAATCAACAATGGAATCAATTACATTAATTGCAGGAAGATCTACAGTTTATTTTTCAAATGTATTTATTTAGAGCATTGAAGTGGTACACTGTGTTTACATTTTTGTGCGTCATCTCTCAATTTTTCCTCATTCAGTTTCTAATATTCAATCTTCATATTGTATTATTTAAATAAGTGCGATTCTTTCTTGATTAAATTCTGAACAATGCCGGGACTGGCATCTCCAGACGGGTATGAAACAAGTAATCCCCTGCCGGTGTGGAAAATTTGACTGAACAGGAGGATAATTCTTCCATCCATAGATGTATTTTTTAATTTAGACTAGAAAATCGTAAGCTGTCCACTAAAAACCAGTATTTTTTCACTTAATGACCTTTCGCTCCAGAATTACCATTCGTACACTGATAGAATGATTCATTTATTTCAAACGAGATTCGTCAACTATTAACGAATGGTAGAGTTGATTATGACCAAATGAATATTCGTTAATAGTTAACGAACGGTTCACTTGAATGGCGAAAGTCAAGTCAAACAAGGCTCCTCAAATATACATTTGTTAACTATTAACGAATGAACATTTGGTGAGACCGAATAGACCCTAACCTGCAACCAAAATCCATTCGTTAACAATAACCAATCCGTTCCTCAGTGTATAGTAAAATTTATCACGATTTTCGAGGTAATTTGTATCCAACTTTTCTCTTCGTGAGACAAAACCGTAGAAATGTTCAAAGTACACTGTTAGAAAAAAAATGAAATTTCATGAACAGTTGACTACTAATTTTCAGGACAGTGACACTGAATGCGCTTTAAAGGAAAAAGTGATGAAATTTCAGATTTCACTTAAAAATCCGTAAAATTCCAGAATTTTAAACAGCATAAAGACGAGAATTCCTCGAATTTATTTGAATCTACAATCTAATATGAATATTCAGTACCATATTTCATTGAATTGTCAGTGAAATCTGAAATTTCATGGTTTTTTTTACTCCTAAATCGCATTTAGTGTCACCGTCCTCAAAAATTCAAGAATATATTTACCAGAATTTTTTGGTTTTC